TGGATGGATGGATGGAAGGATGGATGGGTGGATCTGGGGTGCATGAGGATAGAAATATGATTTGGGGAGAAACCTGGAGACTAACAAGGCCTCTCACTCCCTTCAGACTGTTTCTCCCTCAGAGGGAGTTTGCCAGCTCCCGGGAGCGTTTCAAAGACATGGCTTTCCTCATGTTCCACTAGCTCGGGAGCCTGGTGGGGGCCGGCCGTGTCTTGTTCATTTGAGTATTAGGCCGAGTGTCTAACACAGTGCCTGGCACACAGTAGGCGCTTAGTGTTTGTTGAGAGAACAAGTGCTAAGGCCTTATGTCGTTGCAGGAGGCTGCCCCTTGAGCCCAGTTCCCCGCTCAGTGTGTCCCAGCCCGCTCTGAACAGCCACGAGGCGAGGCCTGCTGGCCCCGGGGCTGGCCCCACAGCCGCCTATCACTTCAGCGCCAGCCCTGTCCCTAGCACCGCCAGCAGTGCCCCAGGTGAGTCTACAGAACCCTCACCTCATTCCACCGCCCCCCAAAGCCCCTTCTAGACCTTCTCTCTTACCCGCTCCTCTCCCTTCTCCTAACGCTACAGGGAGAACCCGGCAGGCTCCGAGGGAGATGACTCCGCCACTTCAAGGGCCCCGTGCTCATCGGAAGAAACCCAAGGCCGTGCCCTACCGGCGGGAGCACAGTCCTGGGGGTGAGGGGCCATGGGCCTGGGGGTGGTGACAGTCAGTAGTGGACATGGGCAGAAACCAGGGGCGGGCTCTGAAGGCTGGAGGTGGGGAGCAGGCAAACCCACATCCTGGGCTGTTCATTCGCAGCCTCCTGGTGCCAGAGAATGGGAGTGGGAGGGACTGGTACCAGGGGAGTGGGACCCTCTGCTGAAACAGGCCTCTCCCCAGACTTGCCCCCACCGCCCTTGCCGCCACCAGAGGAAGAGACGGGCTGGGCCTCAGGGCTGAGAGCAGCAGGCAGCATGTCCTCCTTGGAACGGGAGCGCAGCGGGGAGAGAAGAGGGGTGCAGGGGGGGCCCCTGGGGACCCATCGGGGGCCCCTCCAGGATGGTAAGGAGGCCAGGGTGGGCTGGAGGGCGTGGCTATAGAAGGTGGGCTTTAGGACTGGAGGCTGATAGTACAGTGCAAATGGGGCCAATGATGGGCTAGTTTCAACCCAGCTCACCCCTCACTTTCATTGGGTTCATGCATTTGATCCACATCGGAGGCACCTGTCTCTCCAGCTGCCTCTGAGCAAAATCCCCTGAGGTTCCCCAGTCGTATCCTTTCTCAAGACCAGCCTCAGTGAGAGGAGAACAGGGGTGGGTGTTCCCTGCAGGGTTCTGAGCTCGTGTGATGTCAAGGCCGAGTACTGGCCACTCTGCTTCTCAACCCCAGGATGGCCTGAGCCCTTTGCCTGCCCTCAACTCTCCTTCCAGAGCTGGGAGGAGGGTTGGGGTGGCACAGGGGGGGCAGGAGTGGTGTCCTGCCCCCTGCCTGGGCCCAGCTACTCTTTTCTCTTGTGCTGCAGAAGAGGCCTGGCTCCCTTACAGCCGACCAAGCTTCCTGTCCCGGGGCCAGGCCGCCAGCACCTGCTCCACCGCCAGCAACTCTTCCAGGGGCTCCGGCAGCTCTCGGGGCTCCCGGGGCCCTGGCCGGAGCCGGAGCCGCAGCAGGAGCCAGAGCCAGAGCCAAAGGCCAGGACGGAAATGCCGAGAGGTGGGGGCTAGGGGTGGAGAAACTGAGAGTGGAGGACTAGGGCTGACTGGGAAGAGGGAGATAGAGAAGGGCTTGCAGGGGAAGTGTGGAAAGGAGGCGGCCCAGTGAGTGAGGGGCTGGGGGAGTCTTGGGGAACAGTGACAAAGGGTGAAGGCAGATGACACATGGCAGAGGAGGCTGGGCTCCCAGAGAAGTGGGTCAGGGGAGGCGGGCGAGAAAGCAGCCTGGCGATCGCCTCCCGTGGTCTGTTTGCTGTGGGGCAGGTCTTGCGAGCCAGCCTGTGTGTCTCTCTCTAGGAGCCAAGATAACGCTTGATGGAGAATCAGCAGTTCCGTGGGGGCAAGGCTTGTCCCGGGCCAGGAGCCCGGATGGGAGCCCGTCCCCTGGTAAATGAGGGGGTGCAAAGAGGAGGAGGGGTCTCTTCCTCCCGGCAGTGATGGTGGGGCTCCCTGAGGACCGGCTGAGAAGCCAGGGAGACAGCTCTTCCGTTTCCATCCTACCTACCTGAGACCCGTTTGTAAAAAAGGACAATAAAGAGTCGGAGTGACGTGCTGGGCCATCATCTGGTTTCGTGTGGGATATTTCCATCCTACCTACCTGAGACCCGTTTGTAAAAAAGACAATAAAGAGTCGGAGTGACGTGCTGGGCCATCCATCTTCCGGTTTCACGTGGGATGCGGGGCAGGAGGGGCCACCAAGGGGTGTATATTAGGGCCCTTCCTTCTGAACTTCTGTCAAAACTCTAGGTGAGGACTGGGCTAAGAGACCCGGCCTGTCCCGCCTCCTGAAGTAGCTGAAGTCACTGTCCCCCCAGTGACAACCAGAGGGACTTTCCAGATAACTATGGGAAACTTGTCCTGCCCTCGGAGAGCTAAGCCAGGCCCTCCCTTCGTGCCTCCTCTGGGTGCTGCTTCTCTCTTGCAAGGAAATATACCTGCGCAATAACTTTTAAACTCAAAGGAAGGAGGAGCTCATGGGGAAACCCTGGTCAAGAAGGGAAAACAGGCCCTGACCCTGTTGCTCAGTGGTTAAAGCGTCAGTCCACGGACCCAAGGGTCTCGATTTGATTCCCGGTCAAACCTCGGTTGCAGGCTCAATCCCTGGCCCCAGACGGGGTGCATGCAGGAGGCAACCAATCGATGTCTCTCTCTCCCCTTCTTCCCTCCCACTCTGTCTGAAAATCAATGGAAGAACATCCTCAGCTGAGGATTAAAAAAAAAAAGAGAGAGAGGAATCGGCTTTTCAAACCTCTGAGCCCCTCCTCACAGAGGGTGTGTGCGAACAGGCACCTCCTGGCCAGGTTAGGCCCAGATGGGATGGTTTGGTTGGCACAGAATTTTAAACAATGTTGGCCGTGGATGCCATGGTCCCCATCACCCCCTCACGCACAGCCAGTGCCACTCACAGGTAAGCCCAGGCCTGTTTCCTTCCCGCTTGCTCTCCCCCAGCTCAGGAACCACCCTGGGCTCTCGGGATTGCCACTGCCCGCATGCCCAGGCTCTGACCGCTCCTGCCACTTTGTCCTAAGTGGGTACAGCCCCTTTCTCTCCTTAGGGCTAGCAAACACGGTTGGAATATTTTTTAAAGGAATGTTACCAGGAAGCTAAAAGAAAAGCAGATTCCAGAAGAGGAAAATCAGTAGGAGAGGAAGGATGGTTATCTGCAGCGTGGTTCCCTCCTCCGGGGTCACACCCTCCAGCCCAGACTGGCCAGGTCAGGGTAGTCCGGGCAGCACCGACCCCGGGCCCCGCCTTCTCAGCCTCCAAAGGAGAGTGGCCTCCAGTAGAGCCACAGGGCTTTGGGGGATGATCACCCCCCCTCAGGCCCCTTTCCAATGGGCCCTCCCTGAAGGCGTCTTCCTGTGGCCCTGCTCATGTTCATCCCCCAACCTGAGGATTCTGCCCTTGACCTTTCCAGCCACGTGGGGGAGACGCCGTCACCTGCTCCCCTCCGCTGTCTGTGGCGGAGGCCCCGGGAGTCCGCGCCACCACTGGTTTGCTCTGTTGTTCTGGTGGAAGGGTGTGCACCAGCCAATCATGACAGGTGGCTCTACCTTTTGTGGGATGAGCTACTTTGCCTTAAGAAACCACCTGGGACTGGTCTCTGGGGAGGGGGCTGGGGCGGCTGGAGGCAGGAGTTGTCTTCTCAGGAACAGTTGCCAAGACAGCAGGCCCTCACCATGCCCAGCCCTCCCTTGCCTGGGTCCTGCTTCCAATCGGATGGGTGAACATAATTCTCCCCTTAGTTACTGGACAGGGATGAGTGACATTGCCCAGCGTCAGCGAATGCCTGCTCCCTTTCCAGTTCAGGCAATTCTTTCTCTATCTCCACGTGCCCCCCTCCACTTCCCAAACGACGCTCTGGGAAAAGGGCTCACAGAACTCAGGGCATTGCCATGTCATAGTATTCATTCCTTGGGCTCACTGACAGCAGTGTGGGGAGGGTGGTTTTGTCCCGCATTCCGCACCTCCCGCCCTGGAGCTTCCTCCCTGGTCCCTCTGGGACTTTGCCCTGGTGCTGGGTTGGGCCTCGTGGCTCAGGGCTCTGCTCTGTATCTCCTTTACATGGTGTTGGGGGTGGAGGCCCCGTACGGAACACGGTCCAGTGAGGCTGAGGGGAGGCTTGAGGAGCCCCTTCCTCCACGGCCCACCCCCACAAGCTGCCCTGCTCCCCAGAAAGACCCCTGGCTCACCCATGTCTCACGATCCCTGTGCGTGGGGGAGCAGGAGATGGGCTGCTCCTTAAGCCAAACAGTTTGGTTGTGGGGTTGGGCAGAGCCGAGGATAAGCAAGGCGCCAGGTGGAGACCATACTCCGCTCCGGGGGCTCCGGGTCTGCTTTGCTTTGATTGTGTGTTACTTCATTCCTTTTCGCGGTCAAGGAGGGCGAGCTCTCCTAGAGGCCAGATGTACTCAACTGCAGAGATGCACCGACCAAGAGCTGCAGTCCAGGGCCCAGCCCTCCTCAGGGCCCGTGGCTGATAGGAGAGGGAGTTCTGAGTCTCTTCTTGGAGGGCCGTGGGGGGGGAGTCTCGGGGGACATGCCTCAGGACGAGTCTCTAGGAGAATTGGAGGAGAGTGGAGTTACACCCTGCTCCTTGTCTCGTGGCTGATAGGAGAGGGAGTTCTGAGTCTCTTCTTGGGGGGGCCGTGGGGGGGAGTCTCGGGGGACATGCCTCAGGATGAGTCTCTAGGAGAATTGGAGGAGAGTGGAGTTATCCCCTTGCTCCTTGTCTGTCCTGCAGACCCCCGGCTCCCTCACGGCTCCACCCAGAACCACACAAGCCAGGCAGACGGGCACTTACTGCCAGCCTTGGGTGCAGCGCAGCTGAGATGGCTTCTCTGGGGAGAGTTCTAAGAGTCGGGGGGCCAGGGCGGCAGCCCTCTGCCCAGTCGCTGGATGTGGCTGTTCTCCAGGTCCTCTAGCCAGTCTGACCTCCACTCCCACAGGGGCAGGGAGAGGGTGCGAGTCAGCAAGCGGTCATCCCGGGGGGAGGGAGGCGATGAGGCACCTGTGTGGGGGTAGAGATATCTGTGGAGGGTTGGCCTTCACCCCTGGGAACCAGTTTAGGGAACAAAGCTTGGGGCCAACTTAAAGCGGACACCCAACCCTAAGTATAATCTAACCCCAACTTGGCCCATCAGTCTCGGTGTCTCTGGCCCCAGGGACAGGAACATTCGTTTCTTTAGAGAGAATGTTTCGAACTGGCCTTTGCCCATCCTCTCCCACTCCCAGCGTCCTCCTCTCCCTCCGTTAGGGGAACTTCTGCCCTGGATAACCCTTGCTCTCTCGTGCACCACAAGCCTGGTTGTTTTTCTTGGGGCATAGGGCAGAGTTAGGGTTCATATGACGGGAACAGGGGATCTGATAGAGCAGATGAGGCAGGGAACAGCTAAGGGGATCCCTGACTGCCTCTGTGGACATGGAGATGATGGTCCCACTCCACTAGACAGTGAAGGGTGAGCCCGGTTGCTCCTCCCCACAACCACAGATAAGGCAAGAGGAGGGCGTGGAGGCACGGCGGGGGTAAGAGGAGACAGAACGTCCCACGGTGAGGAGGAACCTGAACACTGGGCTGGAGTGAATCACAGGGGCTGGGGCCACCCTTCCTGGAAACCCCTGTCTGGGTGAGGGGGGGGGCCTTCAGGTACGGGGGTGGGTCACACTTGGCTGCCTGCAGGCTTCAGACTTGAACAGTCTGTCCCTGTTCTCATGGGGTGACCTTGGGTAAGTTAATAAACCTGATTGACTTACAATTTCCTCATTTGGAAAACAATGAAGAGCATTCCTCCTAGAGGAGTCATTGAATGCATGTACAGTGCTTATCCTAGAGCAGTGATGGCGAACCTATGACACGCGTGTCAGAGGTGACACGCGAACTCATTTTTTTGGTTGATTTTTCTTTGTTAAATGGCATTTAAATATATAAAATAAATATCAAAAATATAAGTCTTTGTTTTACTATGGTTGCAAATATCAAAAAATTTCTATATGTGACACAGCACCAGAGTTAAGTTAGGGTTTTTCAAAATGCTGACACGCCGAGCTCAAAAGGTTCGCCATCACTGTCCTAGAGCCTGGGCGGTAGTCATCATTGAATGAAAACTGGCTGTTCTAAGGACAATGACAAAGACCGTGAGGAAGACCATGACTAGGAACGTGGCCTCCTGGTTGGGAAGAAGGGGGTCTTACAGGGGCTGCGCCCACTCCAAGGAGTGAGGGTGAGCTGACGTACCTGTGAAGACGCAGTCTGCCTCCCTGGGCTCCAGACCAAAGCCAAGGCTGTCCACGGCCACTGCCAGGGCCCGTGCGAAGTGGGCATCGGCCAGGAAGGAGCCGTCGGAGGAGCTGACCAGGCTGGCTCTGGCACTGGGGGCGTTGTCCTCAGAGGCTGAGCCCCAGCCATTGGCCAGGGAGCCCTCACTGGGGGTGGGGGTGAGGCAGGGCCGAGGTGGGCACAGCAAACTCCCCACCTCGGACCCTACCCCTCCGGCAGCTCTGCCCATGTCTGCCAGCTCTGAAGCTGTGGGAACGCTGATGTACCCGTAGGTGCTGGGGGGTGAAGGAGCCCTTGGCATAGGAGAGACGCTGTTCCTAGGAAGAGGCAACATGGGAGACAGTAGGATTGTTGAGGTGCCGTAGGGCGGGACCATTCCTCCGGGAAGAGTGGAACGAGGCAGGGACAAGCATACTGTAATACGGGCCTACTCACCTGGGGGTCTCCTCACCCTCACTGAGCTCCAGGCACAGGGCCACCTCCTCAGGAGTCAGCACACTGTCCTGATCCTCCCCCAGGGATGACAGCGAAGAGCTGGACAGGCGACTAGAGGTTGGGCTGGGACCGGACAGGGAGGAGGCCTGGTGGCTGGAGTGGCTGGCGGTACTGGAGGGCCTGCAGGTGGGGATGGGGGCTGCTGACAGGGGGTGCGGGGAGGGAGCTCGGGGCTCTGCCGCGTGCCTGATGGGGTAAGACAGATGGCAGGATGGTTAGTGGGGTCTTTCCAGCCCCTGTCCACCCCTCCCTCACCCCATCCCACCCCACCCCTGCTTTTGGACCCCATGCCCTCTTACTGGGTCTGTGGATTCTGAGTGGGGGGTTCATGAGAAGAGAGGGGTGCTGGCGGGAGAGGGCAAGTCAGCTCGCTGGAGGAGCTGAGGATCTGTGGTCCCAGGGCCCGCCAGGCAACCAGAGCTCGGGGCACAGGTCCTGGGGAACAATAGCCTGGGCATGAGAATAGCAGAACCCCCATCAGCCCCCCACCCCAGCCTGCCCCCTGCCCAGCCCTCCCCTCAGCTTCCTGCCCCTACACCCCACCTGCCAGCTTTCTCAAGAACAGCTGAAGCCGGCTGTAGGGGCTGGGGGCCCCTGCTCCCCACCTCACCGCCTCACTTCCTCTCACCTGGGCTTTGGGAAAGGTTCTTGGAGCCTTTATTTCCTGCCTCCCAGGCCCAGAGCTCCATAGGGTGGCTGCCCCGGAGCAGCGGGGAGCTGTTGGCCTGGTGCAGCTCTGCAAAGGAAGAGTCGGCCGTTGAGGGACAAGCCAGGGTGGGCCTGTCAGACCCCAACCTCAGGCTCCAGCTTCGGCCTCGTCATTCAGTTACGCTTTAAGGCCCCTGGACAAAGAGAAAAGAGGGAAGAACCGCCCTCCCTCTTCTCCTCCCCTTCCCACCTTCAGCCAGGCAGCTGTGAGAGGGTGGGAGGAGCCCCAGGCTTGGAGTAAAAAAATGGGCTCTCGTAGCCCAGCTGAGCCATGCAATCGCTGTGTGCCCTCAGGTAGATCCATGAACCTTTCTGAGCCTGTTTCATTTGTAAAAACCCACAGCAAATGATGGCTTTTCCAATTAAATAAACACAGATCGAAACGTTCCTGGCACCTAATAGCTTTCTTCCCTTTACTGGATTTATTGCCATCTTCCCAATCTCTGTAGCCTCACACGGTTACTCTTCTCGGTAGTTTTGGCTCCTTCTTCTCTTGGAGAGAATCTATTCATTTCCATTCTTCACATTATGAAAATCTCACGCGGTTCTGGCCGGCCCTGCCCTGAGCAACCTGAGCGTCTCTCACCTGGGGACATGGGTTAGACCAGCGGTTCTCAACCTGTGGGTCGCGACCCCTTTGGGGGTCGAACGACCCTTTCACAGGGGTCGCCTAAGACCATCGGAAAACACATATATAATTACATATTGTTTTTGTGATTCATCACTATGCTTTCATTATGTTCAATTTGTAACAATGAAAATACATCCTGCATATCAGATATTTACATGACGATTCATAACAGTAGCAAAATTACAGTTATGAAGTAGCAACAAAAATAATGTTATGGTTGGGGGTCACCACAACATGAGGAACTGTATTAAAGGGTCGTGGTATTAGGAAGGTTGAGAACCACTGGGTTAGACGGTCATGAATGGGTAAGACAGAAACAAGTAACCCTAGACCAGGCCAGGTGTGAAGGAAGAGGCACTTTAGAGTAGGAAGATGTGTTGGTCTCACCCAGAGAGCAATGCCCTGCCCGTAGATAGTCAATATTTGTTGGCTAAATGAGTGAATGAAGGATGCTGTTAGAGATGTAGGTGTAAACTCGTACAGATGTGACTCCCACTCAGGGTGAACCACACTTAGAGACAAGGCTCAGTGAACTCTGACAATAGGAAAGCCGAGGTCACTGAGAGGACTGACCCAGCCACGTACAATGCTTCCTGGTCAGGCCCAAAGCCAGGTGATCTAAGTTTAAACCAGAGAGGAACTGGGTAATGTAAATAGGAAATAACAGATTTTCCCCAGATCAGGAACCAGAGCAAAGGAGGAAAGAAACAGCCTTCAGATTAGTGTCCCATGGTCAGAAGCCCAGACCAAAGGCCAGGCAGGGCCCTGGAGGCAGAGCTGTCTAGTCGGTCTCATCCTAAAGCCTTGGGGGCCACCATGGCCAGTTCAGAGCAGGGACGAGACTGAGACCCCATCTGGGCCCTGGGAATCCATGGGCAGTGGCCAGATCTTCTGAGCCACTGGGATAAAAACCCACACAATGGCTGGACTTCCTCTATTGAAGTTTGCTTTCATACTTCGGCTGATTTGGTTTTTGTACATTTCCTTTCGCGGCATTAGGAAGGTTGAGAACCACTGGGTTAGACGGTCATGAATGGGTAAGACAGAAACAAGTAACCCTAGACCAGGCCAGGTGTGAAGGAAGAGGCACTTTAGAGTAGGAAGATGTGTTGGTCTCACCCAGAGAGCAATGCCCTGCCCGTAGATAGTCAATATTTGTTGGCTAAATGAGTGAATGAAGGATGCTGTTAGAGATGTAGGTGTAAACTCGTACAGATGTGACTCCCACTCAGGGTGAACCACACTTAGAGACAAGGCTCAGTGAACTCTGACAATAGGAAAGCCGAGGTCACTGAGAGGACTGACCCAGCCACGTACAATGCTTCCTGGTCAGGCCCAAACCCAGGTGATCTAACTCTAAACCAGAGAGGAACTGAATAGAAAATAACAGATTTTCCCCAGACCAGGAACCAGAGCAAAGAAGGAAAGAAACAGCCTTCAGATTAGTGTCCCATGATCAGAAGCCCAGACAAAAGGCCAGGCAGGACCCTGGAGGCAGAGCTGTCTAGTCGGTCTCATGCTAAAGCCTTGGGGGCCACCATGGCCAGTTCAGAGCAGGGATGAGATTAAGACCCCATCTGGGCCCTGGGAATCCATGGACAGTGGCCAGATCTTCTGAGCCACTGGGATAAAAACCCACACAATGGCTGGACTTCCTCTATTGAAGTTTGCTTTCATACTTGGGCTGATTTGGTTTTTGTACATTTCCTTTCGTTGAATGACATAATACCTGGCTTTGTAACTAAGCTCAGAAGTGGGGACACTTCTAGCTGGCTGGCTGGCTGGTTGGCTGTATGGAAAAGGAAGGAAGCCCTAACCGGTTTGGCTCAGTGGATAGGGCGTTGGCCTGCAGACTGAAGGGTCCCAGGTTCGATTCCGGTCAAGGGCATGTACCTTGGTTGCGGGCATATCCCCAGTAGGGGGTGTGCAGGAGGTGGCTGATTGATGTTTCTCTCTCATTGATATTTCTAATTCTCTATCCCTCTCCCTTCCTCTCTTTAAAAAATCAATAAAATATATTTAAAAAGAAAAGGAAGGGAAAGGCCAATTCTGGAAAAGGCCATATTTGTCCCAGCCCTTTTCATTTCCTCTAAAGGACCCTGGTAACAATAAGCCCCTCCCCCCTTTGCTCGGAAATACTTGGATTTTAGTTTCAATGTTATTTGAATAATAAACTAGGCAATAAAAATGTTATCAAGGTCAGGCAAAATCTCACTGGCCAGCCCTGAATTGCAATACATATTGGTTTGAATTGATGAGAATATTTGGTGTATGTATCTGATAAAGTACGGAGAACTAAGAACCTGGTATAATGGCTGAGACCCGGGAGAGTGTGATAATATCTATCATGGAGAAAAACCCCAACGAAGGTCAAACAGTAGAAAAAGGAATAAGTAGGTTATGGGGAGTAGGGGCACTGAGAGAACCTGCCCGTTTTAGGAAATGAAGACGCATCAGTCGTGGGCTAGGTGACAGCAGTGGAGCCGACGCCATGGCTCTGGACAAGGTCAGAGCATGATCTGCTGAGGACTAGTGGGGACGTGGCCCACACTGGGGATCAAACTTGTAACCTGGGCACGTGCCCCGACCGGGAATTGAACTGTGACCTTCTGATTCATAGGCCGATGCTCAACCACTGAACCACGTTGGCTGGACGGAAAGGGGCTAGGTGACAGCAGTGGAGCCGACGCCATGGCTCTGGACAAGGTCAGAGCATGATCTGCTGAGGACTGGTGGGGACGTGGCCCACACTGGGGATCAAACTTGTAACCTGGGCACGTGCCCCGACCGGGAATTGAACTGTGACCTTCTGATTCATAGGTCGATGCTCAACCACTGAACCACGCTGGCTGGACGGAAAACTGGTTTTTAAATGAGATTCATGCAACCTCTTTTTAGTTGGTATTTTATTACCACTGAGATTTTCTAATGCAATAGCTTTGAGGCAAAGCTGGAAAAAATGCCAGCTTCATTAATATTTAGAGACATAAAATTTTGGATATTAGACAAGCTCCTAATTACTCTGAATCCACATTTGTTTTAATACAAATGCAATTATAAACTTTAAAAAAATTGGCTGTTGAGCCCGACCGGTATGCTCAATGGTTGAGCCTCTACTTATGAACCAGGAGGTCACGGTTCAATTTGTTGATTCCCAGTAGGGAGCATGTGTATGTAGGGGGCAGCCAATCAGTGATTCTCTCTCATCCCTGATGTTTCTATCTCTCCCTCTCCCTTCCTCTCTGAAATCAATTAAAAATATATTTTTTAAAAAATGGCTGTTGAGCATTTGTAAGTCTCACTCATCAGTACAGAAGGCTCATGAAGACAGCAGGTAGGGTGCAGGCCAATGTTCGGAGATGGGAGAAAAGAGTCAGTGAGAGGATAGGATTTCCCACGGACGCTCCCAGAGACAGTCAAAGTGGCCCTGGGAGCAGACCACTCTGACTTCAGCTCTGAGTTCTGCCCCTTATTGACGTGGGATTTTGAATGAGTTACCCAAATCTGCTCCTCTTTCCCTATCTGTGAAATTAGAGGAAATAATACCAAGTCAATATGTTGTGAGGCTTAAATAAAATAAATATAAGTAAAGCACCTAACATAGTGGTTGCTCAAGAAACAGAGACTAGCCTGGCTGGTGTGGCTCAGTGGTTGAGCATCAACCTATGAACCAGGAGGTCACGGTTTGATTCCTGGTCAGGGCACATGCCCGGGTTGAGGGCTGGATCCCCAGTAGGGGGCGTGCAGGAGGCAGCTGATCAATGATTCTCTCTCATTGATGTTTCTATCTCTCTCTCCTTCTCCCTTCCTCTCTGAAATCAATAAAAATATATTAAAAAATAGAAAGAAACAGAGACTATAATGATGTCTCTCTGGAAAGTCCAAGCAGGATGCTGGGAGTCAGGAGAGATTTGGCGGTTGAGCCTCTACTTATGAACCAGGAGGTCACGGTTCAATTTGTTGATTCCCAGTAGGGAGCATGTGTATGTAGGGGGCAGCCAATCAGTGATTCTCTCTCATCCCTGATGTTTCTATCTCTCCCTCTCCCTTCCTCTCTGAAATCAATTAAAAATATATTTTTTAAAAAATGGCTGTTGAGCATTTGTAAGTCTCACTCATCAGTACAGAAGGCTCATGAAGACAGCAGGTAGGGTGCAGGCCAATGTTCGGAGATGGGAGAAAAGAGTCAGTGAGAGGATAGGATTTCCCACGGACGCTCCCAGAGACAGTCAAAGTGGCCCTGGGAGCAGACCACTCTGACTTCAGCTCTGAGTTCTGCCCCTTATTGACGTGGGATTTTGAATGAGTTACCCAAATCTGCTCCTCTTTCCCTATCTGTGAAATTAGAGGAAATAATACCAAGTCAATATGTTGTGAGGCTTAAATAAAATAAATATAAGTAAAGCACCTAACATAGTGGTTGCTCAAGAAACAGAGACTAGCCTGGCTGGTGTGGCTCAGTGGTTGAGCATCAACCTATGAACCAGGAGGTCACGGTTTGATTCCTGGTCAGGGCACATGCCCGGGTTGAGGGCTGGATCCCCAGTAGGGGGCGTGCAGGAGGCAGCTGATCAATGATTCTCATCATTGATGTTTCTATCTCTCTCTCCTTCTCCCTTCCTCTCTGAAATCAATAAAAATATATTAAAAAATAGAAAGAAACAGAGACTATAATGATGTCTCTCTGGAAAGTCCAAGCAGGATGCTGGGAGTCAGGAGAGATTTGGCAGAAAGGAACTGCTCCTCTGGGGAGCAAGCTGAGAGTAGGGCCTGGGCAGACTTGTGTGGAGCACAGAGGCGTTGTTCATGGGAACCGGAGGCTTCGTGACAGCCCTGGGCGCATTCTGGGCACATCCTTCCAGGTTCTGGAATGACTGTGTGCTGGTCAGGCACTTGAACACACAAACACTTTTCATTACTTTGTTTTTTATATGCTAAAGCTGAAGGAAATCGCACAGCCAACCCAGATTTAAGGAGTAGAGAAATAGACCTCACCTCTTTTTGGCATGGGAAGAATTTGTGACCATTTTGCAATCTATCACAAGTATATACTATCCATTCTTATGTTTTTAGAAATTACCCTAAAAATTTTAATACCCATGCCTAATTTTTCATAGTCTAAAGTAAATCATGATCTGGCCATGGCAGAGCAAGCAGTACTGAATTTGCCCCTTCCCTACACATACTACAAACCACTAGAAAACTGGAAAAAAACATGAAATAACTTTTCCAACATTGATCAATAGGCAGCAAAGGATTATGATCCCTGAAAGAACAGAAACAAACAAGCTGAGTCCTGTGATCATCCTGGCTTTCGAGAGGCACTTTCTGGACCAGGGTACCGGGAGGGAGAACCCAGTCAGAGTGCAGTGAATTTCTTGAGGAGACAGAGGTTAGGATTTGGAGAAGCTGGGGCGGTTGGAATTCATGTAGCAGAGTATCAGAGAAGAGGTAGCTACATAGAGAAAGATTTCTAGAAATCTGCACTGGGTTTGTTTTTACTGAATACCAGTCTGTGCATTTATAGGGTAAAGCTCCTTGAAGCTGCGCTAAGAACTGCCGAGGGTCCAGGGCACACATAGAGTTGGGAGACATTTGAATTCCAACCAACCAGAAAGGAGAGAACTTCTAAAGAGCTGGGATCTTCACTAGAGACTGCGGAAAGGTCAAGCCTTATTAGTAGGACCAAACCAGTCCTTGAGTAATGGCTACTGTAGACCAACTCTAACAATGATTAGAAACAATCTTGAAAGGATCAAGTATCCTCAAGGAATTTAACTGCCACTTAAAGAAAACTCAACACTCTTTAAAAGAAGAGAATAGCCCAGCTCAGCGGTTCTCAACCTGTGGGTCGCGACCCCTTTGGGGGTCGAACGACCCTTTCACAGGGGTCGCCTAAGACCATCGGAAAACACATATATAATTACATATTGTTTTTGTGATTCATCACTATGCTTTAATTATGTTCCATTTGTAACAATGACATTGGGGGTCACCCCAACATGAGGAACTGTATTGAAGGGTCGCGGCATTAGGAAGGTTGAGAACCACTGTGCTACAGGCTTTATTCTACCTGCTTTTAAGCCCTTCAGACTCCTTAAAATCTCTGCACTGATGTCTCCAACTCAGTGCCCTTTCTTATCCTGGTTATCAGGGGAAGTCCAGGTTGCCCAGCGATAAGAGGTATTAAAAAGAAACAGCTGTGTGCTAAGATAAAAAGAATATCTATCTGGAGCCAGACAAACCCAGTTTGAAAATCCCTGTTGGCAAAAAAAAAAAAAAAATCCCCGTTGGTCGCAGCCCAGCTGTGCATCCCTGGGAGCAAGTCTGTCAGCCTCTCTAAGCCCCAGTTCTTCATCTGAAAAAGTAACAACGCCCTTCCATATAAGGCTGATGCTGCACGCTGGGGCCAGGAAACATGAGGTCATGCGCTGGCAGAGCAGAGCTTGCTACATGAATGTGGCCTCGCGACCTCTAGTCTGGTTCCCTTTGAACAGGGGGCCATGCAGGCTGCCTGAGTCATGTTTCAACAGCAGGGACCAGCCAAAGCACTTCTCTGCCTGAAACCTCCCATGGCTCCCATTTACCCGGAGAGAGCCCGGCTGCCTGGCATGGTGAACAGGGCCCCCAGTCTGGTTTCCAACTCCCTGACCAGACCCATCTCACACGCTATGCCCCAGGCAGACCAAACGGCTTTTCCTTCCCTGCGAACATGGCGGCGATTTCCGGCTGCCCGCTTTGGCCTTCTCCTTCTCACTGTCAGGGTCAATGTGAAATCTCCCTCCCGAATTTCCCCACCCCAGTCTCCTCCATGTATCTTGTACATGTGACTGCACGTCCAACTCTGGATTGCATTCACTTGGATGTCTCTGTCTAGACTGGTGGCTCCCAACGCGGGGCACCCCTCCCCCCCACACACACAGGGGTGCAATTTGATTTTTAAGGGGGGCAATTTGAGGATGAGTTATTAACAGTGAATTTTTTGCATTTCCGATGATTCTAGGGGCCTCATATACAGTCTATAAATATACATTGTGACATATTTATGCATTCCAGTTCTCTATTACCGGTATATGTTCTGAAACTTTATTTGCTTTTTTTAATTCTCACTTCATATTATTATTATTATTTTTTTTTTTTTTAACAATTTGTTAGTGATTTCTTTTTTGGTACTTCATCTGTCCTTTCCTTCTTTTATTTTTCTCTTTCATGGATGTCATGTTCTTTGAAAGCTTGTTTAGACCAAGTTAATGGCCTTTTAGGCTTCCTCCATGTGAATAGGAGTTCACTTTTTTAATAATAAGAATTATATGTCACGGGGTGGGGGCGGGCATCAGGATTTTAGAGATGCTTAGGTGGGGCGTGGCCAAAAAAAGGTTGGGAACCACTGGTCTAGACTGACTTCCTGGCAGATGGAGACTGTTCTAGAGAAATGAAGGCATCTCCCTCAAGGACGGGGGTGAAGTCCCAGGGGGACAGAGAAAGTTCAGGGCAGAGCAGACAAAGCCCAGGTGGTAACTCAAGAGAAAGGCCAGTGGGCACAGAAAACACAGGAAGGAACCTTGCTCTGAGCTGAGACACTGACAGGAAAAGGGTCTGGCTGGGTGTATCTGGCACCTAGTAGGTGCTCGATAAACGTCTGTTGAAAGATGCAGACCTGGGATATGAAACCTCCCAGAGGAAATCTAATGCGACAAAGAGCAGGAGAATGTGGGCAGATGAAATGGTTATTTTAGTGCAGAACTCGGCCAACAGGATGAAAAAGCATGCTTGCTTTCTTAGTCTCTTGTCTCATAACCGCAGACTTGCTCTGGCAGCCAGACACACTTGAAGCAGAGGTACCTGCAACCGCCCTATGGTGTAGGGGCAGAGCGCCCTCTACTGGAACTGTGGGTTGACTGCCGTGAAGGAAAGATGGCTCCATAGGTTGAGTGATGGACCGAAAGCAAAGGCAAAGGTACTGCTAGGTGAACTCTGAGTGCATAGAGAAAATCGGGAATTAGGCTGCTCCTTCCACGCTAATTATTCTCCACCCAGGAGGATGACTCAGCAGGAAAGTGTAGTCAGTATTATCAGTGAGAGCTTGGTGACAAGAGCATTGGATTAGGACAGTGGTTCTCAACCTTCCTGATGCCACGACCCTTTAATACAGTTCCTCATGGTGTGGTGACCCCCAACCATAACATTATTTTCGCTGCTACTTCATAACTGTAATTTTGCTACTGTTATGAATCGTCATGTAAATATCTGATATGCAGGATGTATTTTCATTGTTACAAATTGAACATAATGAAAGCATAGTGATGAATCACAAAAACAATATGTAATTATATATGTGTTTTCCGATGGTCTTAGGCGACCCCTGTGAAAGGGTCGTTCGACCCCCAGAGGGGTCGCGACCCACAGGTTGAGCACCGCTGGATTAGGAGTTCAGAAGGCCAGCTGTGTTGCCTTGGGCAAAGCCACTTAAGTCTCTGATTCTGTTTACTCTCTGTCACGTGGTCTGATAGTAACATTATTGAAAGAGAAAAACAGTTCTCACTTGGAGTTGAGGAGAGACACAGATACCAGGCAGGACTCCAAACTGCCCGGCGTAAGGGAGACTCCATCCAACTCTCTGTTCCAGCTCCACTAACCCTGGGTCCCCCTGCCCCTCCCTCACCTCAGGCCACGCCCCTTTCATGTCTCACCTGTGTTTTAGGATGGCGTCCTCGCTGGTATATCTATACAGACCTGGGAGAGGACAGGAAGAAGGCTCAATCTAGAGTCCCCAGCATCAGGCTAGAGAGCTAACCCCAATAGTGTTCTTTTTAAAAAATATATATTTTTATTGATCTCAGAGAGGAAAGGAGAGGGGGAGAGAGTCAGAAACATTGATTTTTATTGATTTCAGAGAGGAAAGGAGAGGGAGAGTCAGAAACATTGATGATGAGAGAGAATTACTGATTGGCTACCTCCTGCATGCCCTTCCTGGGAATCAAGCCCACAACCCAGGCATGTGCCCTTGACAAGAATTGAACCCGGAACTCTTCAGTCCGCAGGCCGAAGCTCTATCCACTGAGCCAAGCCAGCTAGGACCCCCCTATAGTGTTCTTACTGGACCCAGTGAGTCCTGACCCCCTGGAGTCTGCTTCCCTCTCTCACCTGGGCCCAGGTGCACCCCAGCGCGGCGCCGACGGTGGATACACACAGTGGTGCCCAGCAGCAGCAGCCAGAGCAGGACAGCCCCGGTGGCAATGACCTCTGGACGCTTCAACGTTGCTCTCAGCTGCTCCAGGATCCACGGGCCGGGGTCTTTGGGTTCTCGGGTGGCTCGCTCCATGGTCTGCTCTGTATGGGATTTGGAGCTCAGGGGTAGGGGGCAGGGGGAGCAACGAGGGTCGGACAGAGAAGGGGCAAGAGCTGGAAGTGGGAAGTGGGGACAAGGAGAGGAAGGTGGGTATTGGGGCTGAGGGATGTGGTTGGACCAGTGGAGACTCCTCACCTAAAATGAGGCAGATGGGGCTACTGGGCTCCCCAGCCCCAGCGCCGGTGACGGCAGCCACCTGCACACAGTAGGAACCTGGCGTTTGGGTGGCAATCTCCAGCTGGGTCTGCTCGCCGGCCACTGTCCAGTTGGTTGGGGGCCATGAGGTGTTGCTCAGGCTCCACACCTAAGGACAGGCAGGGTGAGCAGAGCCCCCAGGCACCATCCCAGCTGCTGGGCCCTTCATCTGCGGTCAGACTCCGAGCCTGTGGTCACCCTGCCCTGGGGTTGACCAGGGAACCCTCCCCTCACAACCACCCCCACTTCTCATCCCGTCCTGTGCCCTACATTCAGCCTCACTCTCCGCGTCTGTAAATTGGGGATAAGAACCAGGTGGACCGGGGATGAAATGAGACCAGGGAGCTGCTTGGCAGGGGCTGGCAGACGCTCACTGATCCACAGTGGGTGCTCCTCGCTTCTCTGCACGGGTTCCCTTCTCAGTGCCCAGAGCGAGGGCACGCGGGATGCCAGGGGAGAGGGAGGCCTCGGCACCCCCGGAAGGGGTGTGTCAGCTTGTGGGGGTACCTGGTAGCCACGGATGATGCCATTGTGGTTTTTAGCAGGTGGTGGGACCCAGTTCACAAGGATGCTGCCATTGCCCGATTTTAGGGTCACCTCCTGGGGAGGGGCGCTGGGCACTGGGGGAAGGAGAGAGGAGATAGGAATGAGGGAGCTCTAGGGAGAAGGGTGGGATGGGGACACAGGGGCAGAGGCCACACTGATGAGAATCAGCGCTCCCCTTGCCTGACCAGGGCAGAGGGATCCAGGAGCAGGGCCCACCGTCCCCCCAGACTGGAGTGGACAGTCCTCCAGGGCCCCCCAGACTGGAGTGGACAGTCCTC